ACCTTGTGTCCAAATAAAATCTTTCTAGCTCCCATGGGTCGGCCGGAAATGACGTCAGAGTGACGTCATGTTCGGCCGATTTTGATGCAAAACATTGAACTACGGCAATCGCTCTCAAGAGCTCAGTTTTTAACCCGCGCCCGGCTGGGGGTCCTGGATTTCCACGCCCTGCTGGGGGGGGGGGTGTTTGAACACCCACCCTTCTAACTCGGCTCCTGGGCCACGTAGCGATACGCGGAAGGCGGCGTTCGAAAGAGCGTCAAAAATAATGAGGAAATCACTTCGGTCAATTTTTTTGTCAGGTCAAAGGTCAGGTCACCAGAGGTCATTGAAGGCAAATTTTCGCCGATTTCCAGGTCGAATGTCGAAAATTTCCAAGAAGCCAACGCATAACTCGGGAACCAATAGAGCTACAGCGCCGCGGAAAAGCGCATTCGATAGCCCTATTAACGCCCTTCCTGAGTAATTTTCTCAGATTTGACCTAACGTCAACAGTTTTGCCTGCAGGGGGCAAAAACTGCAAAAATAGCCGATTTTTTCGGAAACAGTTTTTCTGCAATAACTTTTGACCCAAGCATTGTACGAGCTTACTTTTACCGGCATCGTGTTCCTCTCGTCAAGACGCATCGAACGAACTATAATTTGACCTTGAAAGGTCAACTTGAAAATTTGACCTCAGGTCAAGGTCATGACCTGACCGGAAAGGGTCATGTTGCATATCAGTCGATCCGTATCGTCGAGCTGAACACATCTAAGGCGTTTTCATCGCTCTAGCATGCCTCTATCAAAAGTTATTTGCGAAAAACTGTTAGATACCATTCGTGACCTAAGATGACCTCAGGGCATAAACAGGGGTCACAGACACCATTTTCATGTTCAGTGTGTCTAAACCACTTGTAATCCAGTGTTTGGGAGTGTTTATAATGTCTTTCGTCCAAAACAGGCGCATTTCAATTTTCTCCCATTGACTTATAATGGTGAGGTCGCAAAATTGACCTGACCTTAGGTCATCGATATCAAAATTCTGAGATATACATTTTGTACATGCTAATGCTCTTAGCAATCGCTGAAAGTTTCAAAGCGATCGGTCACTCGGTGTAGCTATGACAGACATTGAAACTTTTTATGAGGTGAGGTCACTTCGAGTGACCTGGTGACCTGACCTTGAATGACCTTGGTCTGAAATTTTCACAACATGTGTAGAATTGATGTATGATAAGGTGTACCAAAAACGGCGGCGCTCCGCGCCGCCGTTTTTGAGATATTCGCGAAAAACCACAGGGGGGGGGTGTTCAAACACCCCCCCCAGCAGGGCGCGGGTTAAGATAGATCCAAGTTCTTTAAATGAGAGGACTCAGAATGAACAGTGCTATCAAACTGCTATCTCGGATTTTCGAAATTTTAAAAATTTCGAAAATTACACATATAAGCTATCAAAAATTATATTTTTAAAATTTTTCAAAAAAGTTTTTGCTTTTTTGAAAAAAAAAAACGGAATATATGTGATAGAACACATACCGGTGACCTACTCTAGGAAGTTTTAGCCCGATATCTTCAAAAATAGCCAAGTTATACGCTCTATAGGTAGTAAAAATATCCGTCATTATCAAATTTTCAAATCAATTTTTCGGTACGTTTTTGACATCGTACACCAAAATAAATAGCACCATCGTGTTCCTGAGATGAAACTGCATCTGATAGAGACTTTTGTTGTTGAAAAACTTCAACTTTAAAATTTGACCTTTTTTGACCTGAAAATGACCTGACCTCAGCTTTTTTCAGCTGAAAATGGCCTGATATGACACAGACGACACTCATTTCGAAATCTATGGCCTAAATGGACCATAAAACATGTGTCACGTGACCGATTAAATATAATATTTCCGTGACCTAGGATGACCTGGCCGTGACCTTGAAAATTCAAAGTACAAGTTTGGTACCCTCAGGGTATCTTAGGCATGTCTTCATGAGTGTGTAAACCAAAAATGAGCCTGATCCGACCTTTGAGCCGGCGGCCAGAGCCCAAATAGTTAACAAGCCAAAACGTCGATAATTTTTACTTTGACCTGACCTGTGACGCCATCGGTGACCTCGAGGTCAATAAAATTAGGTTTCGCTCGACAGTTTTCCAGGGCTATCAGACGCCGTTTGAATTTTGACAATCGGCCCAGTACTTTCGGAGTTAGGAGGGGGGGCTATAAATAGCCCCCCCCCCCCAGTGGGGCGCGTTATAAAAAGACCCCAGTGCGGCGCGGGTTAAGGTCGACCGAAAAACTAGGAAATCGGCGGAGAACGTCCATACCAAGAATTGCAGGCGCAGATAATTCTTTCACGACAATAATCGGCACGTGGCTTACTTGCGTCGGGCCAATGCCAACGTTCGCTGTGATGGCACCAATACAATTTAAAGGCAGTCCATTAGCGCCAATCGGTTTCCGAGCAGTCGGGCTCATTTTCAAACCATTTATCCCAGGTAGCGAGGCTGAAATGCACGTGACCGCCGCCCCTGTGTCTACCAGCGAGGAACAGGGAATCTTGTCTACTGTCCCGCCCACATGCAGCGATTGATTTCCCGGCTGGCCCGCACTCAGCAGAGAGGGACCAGCCGCCTTCAGTTTAACCCGCGCACCGACGGGGGTCTGCGCCAACTTCGCACCGACGGGGGGGGGGGGCGGATGACCGCCCCCCCCCCCTGAGATCTCGAGAACGAAGCAAGCTAGCGACAAGCGGTAAACGGCATCGGATACGCACGGTCAAGATCTACAATTTTTACAAAGGTCATTTTCAGGTCAGGTCAAAGATGACGTCACAGGGGTCGAAAAATGCAAAATGGCGGCGCTAGATATGAAGAGAGTTTTTCTCGAATAACTTTCGAATTAGTCAAGATAGGAGCAAACTAAGGGCATCATCGTGATCCTCTCGTCAATCCGCATCGACTGATATATATGTTGACCTCGAAAGGTCAAGGTCAAAGGTTGACCTCAGGTCACGTGACCTCGAGGTCATCATATATATCATTCGATGCGTCTTGACGAGCTGAACACAATGAGACCATCCACGCGGCTGTATCTTGTTCCTGTACGGAGTTATTGGCCAAAAACCTTTGGTGACCTTTGATGACGTCACATGACCTCACAGCTGCTCAACAGCAAAACAGACCTCAAGGTAGTGAAGGTTGATCGTATATGAAGTCATGTATGGTATATGGGGCCATTCCGACCCGTTTTAGTGGTAAAAATAGGGAGTTGATTTTTCCCCCATTGACTTATAATGGGGAGGTCGCGAAATTGACCTGACCTTAGGTCACCGATATCAAAATTCCGAGATAAACAAATTGTAGCTACTAATGACCTTATAACATCCTGCGAGTTTCAAAGGCCTCCGACATCTACTGTAGCTCTGGCACGGTGACAAAGTTGCAAAAAAGTGACTTGAGGTTGGGTCATTCAAAGTGACCTGGTGACCTGACCTTAAAAGGTAGGAGGTTCAAACTTGCACACCATGTGTAAAATTGATGAGGGAATAGTCGTACAAAATTTCGCGGCGCTACGCGCCGCGGTTTTCCCGCTATCCGCGAAAAACCTCAGGGGGGCGGATATCCGCCCCCCCCGTCGGTGCGCGGGTTAAAGACAGCGGACAGTCGTGCCGCGTATGTCCAAACTCACGACAGCGCCAGCACATGACCGGGCTGGCCCGTCCCCGGCCGCGCGCCAGAGGTGCGCGTGTGCAAAACCGCTGAATATGCCCAGCTTCTCCACAAGTCCAGCAGACGACGCGGCTCATCGCTCCATGCTCCATACCAGGATCAGCGTGCCCCCAATGTGGCTCCTGGCTCCGTCCCTGCCCACCCGGCGGGCCGGCGCCGGCCGCCGAGTCACGTGCTGGGGTCATGCAGCCGCGACCCGCTCGCGGCCCCGGGGCGCCAGCAGCCCCGCTCCGCCGCCACGCGGCGCCCATCCGGCCGCGACCGACCGGCCCGCGGGATGGAAAAATACGCGCAACATTCTCCTCCCCCGAGCTGCTGCACCCGCCAGTAGCTCCTGTTATGACATCACGAATTGCCAGAACGGAACGGGACAGTTCAGCGACCTTCGTTCTCAACTTTGTGATGCTGTCTGGCTCACGCACAGTCTGACCCACCGGCTCCAGACTGCCAGCAGAGTTCCCTATGATCCCCACAGCACACGCAGGTTTGTCGTCTGCGCCCGCCATTGCCTCGTCAATCTGTTTTGCACGGGTTGGAAGGTTCTCGACATCCAGGTCGGGGCATAGTAACCGCAGCTGAGCAGACACAGTCGCATTGATACCGTCGAGAAACCGAGATTTTATCAGAGCCTTGGCGACCGAAGTGTCCGCCTTGGTATCAGGGAAGGCGTTCACAAACAGAGACTGCAACGCAGCCAGAAACATACCGTAAGTCTCGCCGGAAAGTCTGGCGCGGGTCCCGAACGCAGTCTGATACGACCTGGTGGAAGATCCAAACTCTCGCCGTAGAGCAGCCTCCAGCGACGCCACCGAGCTGGTGTCGTCTTCCGTCAGCGAGTCCATGATGCCGATCCTCGAGCCCAGGCCCAGCAACGCCTTGCCGATCGCCTTTTTCTCATCTCCCACTTGCAGCCGGTACGCCTTCACTTTCCGCACGAACGTATCAAGTTCCTCCCCTTCACTCCACACCACACGGCTGTCCCCATGCCCGTCCATCGCGACTATCGCTGCCACCACTGTGACGGTCCGCCCCACTCACCGGTCACTGTAGCACTGCTCGGGGTTACATGAGCAGAGTTAATACGCATTACAAACGGACTACAATGGTGAGCGAATAGGAAAATCCGTTCCTGATACGCATTTACTTGCTCATGTAACCCAGGTAACTGATGCTCCGCCGCCGCGTTGACTCGTGGGTCAGCTGATGTCCGACCCGTCCACCAGAGGCGCGCCAGTCGCCCATAGGCGCGCTCAGGTATCCCAGAACCCCACACAACACCACACTACAATTCCCATGATTAGCCATCGTTGTATATTTTCTGCACCATCATGCCGGGAACATTTTCCGTACATTTTCTGCTGCGTGTATTCCACAAAATCACATGATACGCATTGGATTGCCATCAATGCCATAGAATCACGAAGCGTCACATTTACGTACCAATCGCGTAAGTCCCCAGCGTAACCTCAGTATTTCTAACCTGTTATTGTGAACGGCAGCTGATGGCTCACCAGAAGCAACCCACTGCACCCTGTGACGCACTACACTGCACTCCACGATACAGGTGTCTCCGGACGGTAACCCGGGAAAGCGGTGCGGATGATAATTCAAACAATACCAATTTTATCTAGATGGTCGTCGACAGACACCAGGACACAACTGCCTATCAGGAGCGCGCTACGCACACGATATCAGCGTCACACATGGTCAAAGGAAATAATCAATTCAGGCAACTACAAGCAACTACAGATAACATATGGCTTGGCTTTTAGAAAGCCGTCGGAAATCCGACTGCGGGGTTTGCAGCTGCCGATCATTTGGCTGCCAGTTTGGAACCTTTCCTAGCCAGCAATTTGGTTTGGCTCAAGTCCGTTTTTCCCAGCAACGCCGACATGCCAGATTTGGGCCGGTGTAAACGGAACGCCGTCAGGGCCGGGGTTTGGGTCCATATGGCTCCATTCCGGTTCGACAGCCTTTGCCGTAGCGCTCCCGAGTTGGTATGGTTTCGGACCGTCAAGCCTAGCCCAAGTCCGGCTCCCTGCCACGGCTCAAGTCCGGCTTCCTACGGCCAGGACCGGCTGCCTCGTAGCTGCTCTGGCTTACTGTGGCTGAAGTACGGTTGAGGTACGGCACGGCTGATACGGCTTAATTCCGGCTGTGGTTCGGGCGAGCTCTGGGATCGTGTGTCAGCTCCAGTAGAGTCCCAGACTTTGCCCGTACTTTGGCCGGAGCAAATGCCGGAGCTAGCCAGAGTAAAATCAGCTACGGCGCAGACTAGATTTGATGGTTGGGACAAATAGAATAGTTATTCAAAGGTGAACTTGAGGATCGTTTTGATGTTTTCTCCGTCAAACTTTTCGTAACCCTCTCTCCTTTCCATTAAGATAAAAAATAACTTCCTCCTGGCCTCCTGCGGTGTGCCACTCTTAGCTATGATTTCCTTTGTCAAATTGGCTGCAAAGACACCAACACCCAATGTTACTAACCCTTCACCTGCAGCTACAACTGCCCCTCCGACTCCGTAAGTTCCGGCAGCTGTCCAACCAACAGGTCCAGACAGGACCATTGCTGTGAAGACGACTCCTGTAACAAAGTTCACACCACGCCATATTGCCATAGCATTCCGACGCGCCTTCTCTATGTCGATCATCGGACCCGCTACTTGGTCCAGTACCTGGTCGAGTCGATTTGTCAGGCCCTCTGCACTGTAGGATCCGAAAGACGCAGCATGCTCAGTATAGTCTCTCAGCACAATCTGCTTTTCTGAATCGCGACTTCTGAGATACATCCAAGAGTCCACCGTTGGCAGTTTCTTCTGGAAATTCTCGAAAAAATCCTCAAGGCTTTTGACAGCCATATTCACGTTTTGCTTTTCACATTTGTCTTCGAACTCTTTTTGGGATTTGCTGAACCATTCATCTATTTGGTTATACAGCAGACGCCAGTACTCACTTGCTGGCTTGGTGGAATGCTGCAAGCTGAGCTTGCTTTCGAGTACATCAATCGCATGTGTTTTCGCCTGTGAGTGAGTGCTGATGACAAGGTCACCACAAATAAGTGAGCCGTCATCAGCTAGGAGCTCCAGCATTTCCATGCTGTACTCCTCTAAAAGGTCCCTCACTAACGCCGAGTTCGACATCTCTTCCTGTCTTGTCAGAAGATCCTGGCTACATGTCCGAATGTTCTCGTGCAGCTTCTGACGACCTTCATCAGCATCGTACGACCCAAAGGTAACCACTTCACGTTCGAAACACTGCATGGCGTTCCGCTCAGCTACCTCCATTGCTTCCTGCATCTTCGTTTTGTTGGCAGCCTGGTCTCTTTCTATAGCAGTAAGTGCGTGTTTGAATGACGCCAAGCACTCTGTCGCAAGTGCACAGTTCACCTCATCCGCTCTCATTTTGTCTGCTGTGCACTTTTCGTGGAACAGTTCTTGTGATTCTTGGAACCAGTTAAGTATCTTGCTCTCAAGGCGTCCAGAGTAGTGGTCTTCGGAGTTAGTTGAATGTTTCATGCTAATCAGTGGTTGCAAGGCTGACAGAGCCAAGCGTAGTTCCTTGCCGTGATGGCCTTCAACCATGCCATTGTCCAGACTCGGGGCACCGTCAGCTAGAAGATCTTCCATTTGAGCTTTGTACCTAAGGAACTGTCTTTCCACTTCCTTTGTGTTCGACAAGTCCTCGTCTCTTGCCAACATTTGGTCGAGCCTTTCCTTCAAACTCGTTTCCAGATTGTGTTTGCAGTCTGTTGGTACGTACGATCCCAGAGATATCATGTCCCGTGTGAAGCGATCTACCGCGACCTTTCCTGCTTCGTAGTAGGCTTCTCTGATCTTCTCTTCCCCAACAGGCATGTCACTCTCCAAGTTACGCATCGATGCGTCGAATGTCTCCATGCACTCTTTCACCACATTTTCATTCGCCTTCCTTGCCTTTTCTCTGTCGTTTGCGCACCTTGCTGTGAACTTGTTTCGCGCCGTTTCTAGCCATTCTTCTATCTTGTAAGCGAGCAGTGAGCAATAATGAACTTCAGACTTTGTGGAATCTGGAACGGTGTCCCTGTTTTTCAGACCTTCGACTGCTGCCAACTTTTCCTCGCTGTGCTTTTGCTCGAAAATTTTTTCTGTTAGCGGCGGAGCGTCTTCGGCCAGTAGTTTGTTCATTTTCGTCACGTACTTGCTGAGCTCAGCATCGACGGCTGCGGTGTTGCACGCCTCGGCGACGATCTGGAGAATGCTCTTTGGTTCCGGGAGCTTGTCGCTTTGGAAAAGCTCCGAGTACATCCTGATGAGAGTTGCCAGCTCTCCGCACGTCACTGGGCGGTTGCCGTTCATCTTCAATGGGATCTTGTCTGGAGAGAGCAGTAAGGTCAGCAGCTTGTCCAGCGCATCCGAAAACTCTTTACCCATTTCGTCGTCAGAAAAGGTCGAACCCCGGGCGACTGTACTTCCCGGGTAGGGCATGAGAAACCCACCGATTTTTGCAAAGCATGTTTCAATGTGCTGTCGTCTCTGATTGGGGTCCTTCTTGCCACTTCCCATACGTGTTTGGACCAAAGCATCGCCTCCCTGTTTCCCGAACGGATGTGTATCTGGGTGATCCCAATCGCGAATCAGGAAGAGCAGGTTCTGGAAGGCCGTTCTGTTAGAGCGATCTCTGGCCATGCGACCGATCTCGGCGAAGAGCTGTAGGTGATCCAGGTCATCGCTCTTCAAGTTGCCCTGAAGGTTGAACACCTGCATTGAGCTGAGGAGGGTGCTCAGAGCGAATATTTTGGTCGCGTCAGACATGTTCGAATCCTCATCGAACAGCCCCTGCGTGTCTAGAAGGAAGAGGACAGCCTCTTCTCCGGAATCCAAAGTGATTTTGATTGGAGGCGATATGAACATGCCATTGGTATGAGACTTTGCTCCATTTTTCCATGTGAAGCTCCCCTTTTTCACGTCACGCCATTGCCCTTTGTTCTCGGCTGTCAGATATCTGGACATCTCGTTCAACAGGAACGACTTGCCCGTTCGGAATGCTCCGGCCACCGAAATCACCGCCACAGGCTTGTCGGAGACGTCATCACTTTCTAGGAAGGCCTGGAGGACTTCCTCCTTCAGTTGCAGCTTTCTCTCCGGTCCGGTGTCGTCCACGTACAGGAACTGTCTTGCAATATTCTGAAATGGGAAAATACGGAAACGTTACGGTTTGCAAGTCTTGAGTTTTTAGTTATACGGATATTAGCGGTGCCACCAACACCGTTAACCAGCGCCCCGTAGGGCTATCACCAGACCCTACCACCCGTAGGGGGGGGGGCGTTTAGGCCCCCTAAGATCTCAGAAAATTACCGACCGATTTTCAAAATTCAAATGGCGTGGATAGCCCCAACAGGGAACTACCTTGTGACCTAATTTCATTGACTCGGCCTAACCGATGACGTCACAGCCCACAGGTCAAGTCGAAAGTCCAATTTTACCGTTTACAGGCATTTCAAGAAATGTGTTCTAAATTCGAGTAAAAAGGAATACCATTGAAAATCATCAATGAAGAATTGTCCGTCAAACACATCTTTTACTAACTGAGGCCACTGATACCAGGTCAGGTCACAGAGTTGAGGTCACTGAGGGTCACAATATGAAAGTGTCGTGTAATGCATGTTTTATGGTCCATTTTACATGACCAATGCGATTATGTGGGTCAGGCAACCTTTGGGGCCAGTTTAGGTCATGTTCTGGTGAAGGTCAGTTCAAGGTTAGGTCAAAGTAAGTCAAATTTTAAAGTTGATATTTTGCATGAAATGGGTGTCGATTCGATGCAGCTCGTCACGGGGATTCTAATGGTGGTCATTGTTTTGCACTACGTGGTCTAGAATTGCTAAAATTCGAGTTTGAAAATTTACCGTCATCAATTTTGAACAGTGTTTTCGCTATAACTTGGCCAAAAAAGAGGTATCAATCTCAAATTTGGTATGTTGATAGTAGGTGGTATGGACCATCATATATATATATATATATATATATATATATATATATATTTTACGTTTTTTAATAAAAAATAGAATTTTCCGGCTATAATTTCCCAAAAAAATTTTTTTTTTTGATTTTTGGGAGTAAAAATCTAGAAATTTTATAAATCCGAGATAGCAGTTCATAGCCCTCTTAATTCTACACCTTTAATGTCTTTAACCGTCGACAGCACAGGGGGTGATGCAACCGCCCCCCTAAGGTATTTCGCAAATATAAGGTATTTTTTGCGCGTGTAAAGAAAACCGCAGCTCGCAATCTTGATATAGCTTATCATACATCAATTTCGCATCGTGTGTCAAAATTTTGACCCCAGGTCACGTTCATTCAGGTCACCAGGTCAAGTTAACCCTCGCCCGTATTGGTGTTTTTCCAGCCGCGAACGTATAAGGGGGAGGGGGTCCGTTGGACCCCCCCCCCCTTGCCGTTTCGCCCCTGATCGAGCTAGAGCTTCGCGGAAAAAACGAGCGTGTTGCCCGTCACGAGAGGAAGCCGATGATACCCAATTTTAAGGTCCTAGGTCATCGGTTGACCTTCCAGGTCAGGTCAATGACCCAAAAGTCGGGAAAATCGGGACCTGTTAGAAAGCCGTAAAGCGTGGCTGCTATGGGGTTTTTAGGGGTGCTAATCACGAATATCATGTAAGTTTTGATCACAGGTGATGTCTTCATGCATTTAGGCCAGGTCGGGTCTAGTCAGGTCAGGTCAACCAGTAAGGGTATTCGTAGTAGGAGGCAACCGCCTCTGACAGCTTCGTAACATGTTACGAAGGCACCAAAACTACTTCGTAAATGTTCATATGGTTGCCAAATTCGAATTCAGCTAAAAAAAAACTGGCCTAGAAACATGTAAAACTCGAAAAAGTGAACCAAGGTCATCAAAGGTCAATGACCTGACCTGACCTTCCGGTGACCTTGACACCCACTTTAACCCGCGCCCGGCTGGGGGTCCTGGATTTCCACGCCCTGCTGGGGGGTGTTTGAACACCCCCCTTGTAACTCGGCTCCTGGGCCACGTAGCGATACGCGGAAGGCGGCGTTCGAAAGAGCGTCAAAAATAATGACGAAATCACTTCGGTCAATTTTTTGGTCAGGTCAAAGGTCAGGCCACCACAGGTCATTGAAGGCAAAATTTCGCCGATTTCCAGGTCGAATGTCGAAAATTTCCAAGAAGCCAACGCATAACTCGGGAACCAATAGAGCTACAGCGCCGCGGAAAAGCGCATTCGATAGCCCTATTAACGCCCTTTCTGATTAATTCTCTCAGATTTGACCTAACGTCAACGGTTTTGCCTGCAGGGGGCAAAAACTGCAAAAATAGCCGATTTTTTTCGGAAACAGTTTTTCTGCAATAACTTTTGACCCAAGCCTTGTACGAGCTTACTTTTACCGGCATCGTGTTCCTCTCGTCAAGACGCATCGAATGAACTATAACTTGACCTTGAAAAGTCAACTTGAAAATTTGACCTCAGGTCAAGGTCATGACCTGACCGGAAAGGGTCATGTTGCATATCAGTCGATCCGTATCGTCGAGCTGAACACATCTAAGGCGTTTTCATCGCTCTAGCATGTCTCTATCAAAAGTTATTTGCGAAAAACTGTTAGATAGGGGAGAGTGGGGAAAGATGCCCAGGGTTTTGCTATGTCATATATTATTCGAAAATGACGATTGGAAAGCAAAAACTGGGAGTTGTAACGGAAGCCGACATCATTTTCTCCAAAAATATCACACTTTCGTGCCTGAAATATTATAACTTTTTTTGCTATTAAGCATTTTCCTGAAGAAGTGAAAGGGGGCATCTTACCCCACAGGGTGGGAAAGACGCCCCCTGACGTTGGGAAAGATGCCCCCGGCACTATAAGTGACATAAATGGGCACGTGAATCGCCTGAACGAATCAGTAGTCCCTTCGAGCCTGCAGTAGACACCAAACGTCATCATAAGGGCCCTCAAAAGTAGACGTAAGGGGCTTCAGAGGTCATCGTTAGGGCCATCATAGTCCAGCGCGGCCAAACAAGCCTCCGTGATGGCGTTCGGAGACCACTGTGGGGCTTTTATAGGTCTTCATGATGCTTGAGGGCCCTCGAGCCCATCGTGGGGACCTCCGATGCCAGCGCGGCCCGTGGGGCCAACGTGGGAGCCCTCAAAGGATGTCGTGGGGGACCCTGGAGCCAATAATGGGGCCCACAGAGGCCGTCGTGAGGGCTCTCAGAGTCAGATGCCGCCCAAAAAGTCGCTATGTGGGCCGAGAGACCGGCATGGGGAGCACCCGACCGTACTGGACTCTCAATAGTCCCAGATCGGCTTTTGTCTACATCACAAGTATGTAATAAATAATTTGACGGGCTGTTTGAAGGACAGCCTACGGATTTAGGGGGGCGTCTTTCCCCATCAGGACAGGGGGCATCTTACACCAAGGTACCGAATTAACATTAAATCAGTACAATTTGTTAGCCATAAAACTACACCCTGAAACAAACTGTTTGGGACACAGTACACGCATGCTAATGTATCACGACTATAGCAAGGGACGCAAAAATTATTTACCTTCTTTGATATTTATAATGTTCTGACACCAAAATATGTTTTGAAAGCAGCAAATAAAAAACATGCAATCATCAGCCAGCCGTTGCCCAACTGAGCTTCGCAATTTTTTGTGCAGTTAACAAGGCAGGCTTTCGCTTTACGCTAAGAACATTAACCCGCGCCCGGCTGGGGGTCCTGGATTTCCACGCCCTGCTGGGGGGGGGGTGTTTGAACACCCCCCCTTCTAACTCGGCTCCTGGGCCACGTAGCGATACGCGGAAGGCGGCGTTCGAAAGAGCGTCAAAAATAATGAGGAAATCACTTCGGTCAATTTTTTGGTCAGGTCAAAGGTCAGGTCACCAGAGGTCATTGAAGGCAAAATTTCGCCGATTTCCATGTCGAATGTCAAAAATTTCCAAGAAGCCAACGCATAACTCGGGAACCAATAGAGCTACAGCGCCGCGGAAAAGCGCATTCGATAGCCCTATTAACGCCCTTTCTGAGTAATCTTCTCAGATCTGACCTAACGTCAACGGTTTTGCCTGCAGGGGGCAAAATCTGCAAAAATAGCCGATTTTTTCGGAAACAGTTTTTCTGCAATAACTTTTGACCCAAGCATTGTACGAGCTTACTTTTACCGGCATCGTGTTCCTCTCGTCAAGACGCATCGAATGAACTATAACTTGACCTTGAAAGGTCAACTTGAAAATTTGACCTCAGGTCAAGGTCATGACCTGACCGGAAAGGGTCATGTTGCATATCAGTCGATCCGCATCGTCGAGCTGAACACATCTAAGGTGTTTTCATCGCTCTAGCATGCCTCTATCAAAAGTTATTTGCGAAAAACTGTTAGATACCATTCGTGACCTAAGATGACCTCAGGGCATAAACAGGGGTCACGGACACCATTTTCATGTTCAGTGTGTCTAAACCACTTGTAATTCAGTGTTTGGGAGTGTTTATAATGTCTTTCGTCCAAAAGAGACGCATTTCAATTTTCTCCCATTGACTTATAATGGGGAGGTCGCAAAATTGACCTGACCTTAGGTCATCGATATCAAAATTCTGAGATAAACATTTTGTACATGCTATTGCTCTTAGCTATCGCTGAAAGTTTCAAAGCGATCGGTCACTCGGTGTAGCTATGACAGACATTGAAACTTTTTATGAGGTGAGGTCACTTCAAGTGACCTGGTGACCTGACCTTGAATGACCTTGGTCTGAAATTTTCACAACATGTGTAGAATTGATGCATGATAAGGTGTACCAAAAACGGCGGCGCTCCGCGCCGCCGTTTTTGAGATATTCGCGAAAAACCGCAAGCGGGGGTGTTCAAACACCCCCCCCAGCAGGGCGCGGGTTAACCCGCGCCCAGCTGGGGGTCCTGGATTTCCACGCCCTGCTGGGGGGGGGGGGGTGTTTGAACACCCCCCCCCCTTCTAACTCGGCTCCTGGGCCACGTAGCGATACGCGGAAGGCGGCGTTCGAAAGAGCGTCAAAAATAATGACGAAATCACTTCGGTCAATTTTTTGGTCAGGTCAAAGGTCAGGTCACCAGAGGTCATTGAAGGCAAAATTTCGCCGATTTCCGGGTCGAATGTCGACAATTTCCAAGAAGCCAACGCATAA